ACTCTTCTTGTGTTGGCATCGGGTTCCTGCGAGTGACCGGATCGCTTTCAACTTATGAGCGTAATTCTTAGGAAACCATAAGACAATTGGCCAACATACCTTCAATGTCATTTTTCTATAGAGCTCGGCAATTGTTACCGGCCCATTTTCCTTTCGCGGTCCCTTACATTGATTTCTCTCGTCGATCCACGCTACTCTCGAGCCGGAAGCTGGGATACGTCCCGTGTACAATGTAGTGAGTACATCATCTGGGCAGATTGTGACGAAAATTGGCAACTCATAGTATACTCTTGGTGAATACTGCTGATCTTCAAGAAATGTCTTTATCAGGGTTGTGGTTCCGTCGTACTTTGTCTTAATGAAAGACTCATTTTCGGTACTGATGAATAGAATCTCACGCTCCCAGTCAAATGATGGATGCGCCAAGCACCGACAAACACGCCGACGGACGTGACGTTGCTTTTTAAACCCAATGAGGGGACGCATTTGAAATCATTAGCAGTGAAAGAAACCAAAAGTTAAGGGACAGGTCAACAGACACTTCGGCGGGTTGCATGTGACGTTCGTGATACCAAATGTTGAAGAGGATCGCTGGACCTTTTATACTTTCGATGTCTCGGGACAGGAAATCATTGCATTTAGATCGCTTGAGATTCTTCACGAGAGGGGACGGCTAAGTGAGCCGACTTGTGACACCGTTGCCCTCCATCTCGCGAGCACAAACGACGCGGCAATGAACCATGGCAATCATAAGGCACCAACGCTCAACGAGCCTAAACTTAAAGGTAGCCCGAGAAAGTCGGGCATTATCAATGGAATAAAACCTGCCTGGGGTAGTGCTACGGTCGCCTTTGGCTCGGGACTCCTTCTGACTGGGCACTTCACATGTCAAGCTTGCAACTTCCCCTTAGGGATTCTTGCCGAGCAACGGTTGGTGGAGCTGTCGGTGAAGGGCTCACGATATCTTGTGTGGGTGAAATGCATGCCTTTTTCCATTGGGCTATAGATGGAGGAATCAGGCTGCAACACGGTCTCGGAAGCCGACGCGCCTCACAACGGTGAGAAAGTTGTCTCTTCAGGGTATTGTCTTAGCAGTGCTATCGATCGATACGTATCCCAGCGCTAGCAGTGCTTTCTCATTTATCTGATGCGATGTTTGGGTAAAGTTTGATGGTGGTTATCAAGACCGAAAAGCTTCGGAATGCTATAAGGGTGTTTTCAGCACTGGCGTTGAGAAGAAGATCAGCCGTCAAATAATGATTTGGCCGGAAGATTGGTGGTCCTGTGACCGACCGTCTGGTCCAACTAAACCATGCGATTACTACCTGCATTCTGACACGCCATCTTGTTATTGGGATTGGTTTAGACTTGGCCATACAGAATATGTCACACCGTCATCCTGCACACCATCTTTCCACCTGGCGGCACCTCATCCTGGATGGAGGAAACTAAGGAGGGCACGCCCCATGCGCCCTGATTTTCACTTTGGTGACGGGACAATACGCACACCTTGGTGTGCCACAATATTGACATGAACCCGCGCGAATAGGCATTCCCGACTGGCCGCAAGAGCACTGAGTGTCGGAATCCAACCGCGTTAGCTTTCGTTCGAGATACCTCGTGAACTTTCAACTTACGCACTGCCAGACCGGGATCTGCCTTTTGGGGCCAACTTCTATTATACCTGGGTACTGGACATGGGCTCCCTCGTATTGTTTCCTGCGTCTACGTTAGCGTCCGCGATGCTCAGTGGTCATAACAAGCCACAAAATGGTTCGCAGCGGCATATCTTACGCGGCGCGGCGGTGAGCTAGCGGCAGCGCTTTGTCATGGAGGCCGCCTCGAGAGATGTAGCTGAATGACTGTTCATTCACATTCGAAATACTGCTAAAGGACGGTTCGTTACCCGTGTAAAATAAGACTCTGGCATCACTGTCACGGCCAGCCATATTGGGAGACTCGATCCAGGGTCCAGGATCAGCCCGAAATTCATAGATGGGGGAAGCGCATGTTTTTGACCAATTGCCTTTGTGCAACGAGGCCGGGCTGGGTGAACTCCATTCACCGATGTGGGGCCGACCGCTGTGTGGAATTCTGTCCCGACGCATGTTCGCGGCAGCGACCAGCTAGCCACCTTCACCTCAGCCGTCCACACCCGGGTTTTCTTTTTCTGATAATCTTGAGGCTTTGGATGCCTCTGAGCTTTACCCATGATTTGCGCTCTTTGAAAATCTAGTAAGTGAGAAAGAATGCTGCTGATTTTTCCAACTTAAAAACACTTGACTTAGATTTTGTCCCGGTAGGGCGCTTTTTGGCAGGCTGGGGTGGCTGGAGAGACGGCCTTCTTTTTGTGCAGCCCTTCTTCCTTTGCAGCCTTACTCAGCTTCCGCTCTGGACTAGACCAAATTCAAGAACTTGACTTCCGCTAATCCGATCGGCTGCCCATCTATGCTAATGTCTTGCATCATCTCCACATACCAGAGGCCATTCCCTCATTAAGTCAGCCCACCCCATAACCGAACACACCCCATAACCGAACAGCGTTTTATATATGATCCCACCAAAATAGATATATATATATTAAATTAAGTACTTAATATATCTATATATAAAAATTATATTATATAGTTTATAGTATATATAGTATATATTTTAAGTAATAATATAATATTTATAAGTAGTTATAGAGAAATAAATTCTATAATCTCTCTATATAGTAAATACTAGTATTTCTACTTCTAATTCTATAAAATCTATTTATTATATAAGTTTAATTAATATTTTCCTTAAAATTAAAGAAAAATATAAGAATTATAAAATTTCTACTTAGAACTAGAAATCTTAAGTAGTAGTTATTTTATTTACTTAAGTTTTAAAAATAATTATTTTTAAATTCTAAAAGTCCCCACTTTTAAATTCTATCTTTATAAAGTAATATTTTATAATTATAAACTTTAAATAATATCTTTATTATTATAAATAAAAATCTAGAAAAATATTAAATTACTTTATATATTTATATACTTAGTAGTTATTTAATAAAGATATAATATTTAAAAATAGAAAAACTTAAATAAATTAGTAATCTTTAAGTATTTTAATCATATTAAAAGCTTTTTATACTAATTAGAATTTTCTCTATTTAATTAGACTATTTAAAAAAACTTATATATTTTATTTAATTTTATTTAATAGTGTTCGGTTATGGGGTGTGTTCGGTTATAGGGTGGGCTGACTTAATGTGTTGTCTCAACAACATCTCCTCTGCATGTCACATCCGAAGCTAGTATGCAACAAGTCAACCGGTCCACTAAGGTTGCTCACTGACACCGTTCAAGATACCCATACAGAGCATGCCAGGTAGTAGGCGTTGAAAGCCCCAAGGTGGACAAGTCATACCGCCGATACGTTTGACAGCTTGTTCCTTGTTCTTTGTGGTGTTCAGGTGAATCCACAAAATTTCGAGAATGAGCAAGAATCACTGGTAATTTAGTTTTCGTACACAAGAGGCATGCACGGAAATGACAGAATTCAATTTGCAATGACCTCTCGATGTATGATGAGCCGAGAAACAGTTTAATGTTTTTATTTCATAAATGTGTATTGCCGAGTTGCAGGGTAGATGCAGTTAATGTAACGTTTACACGTGATACAGTGTGCACCGAACATCGAGGAGTGTGGCGCAAATAACATGAAGGACTGGTATTCTCCCGTGCCGCGGAAAGAGGCAGTATTGTACACCCCAGAAGACAGTGTTTCTAACACCCGGAATAAAAACCCGGAACAAAATCTCGGCAAGCAGCGCAAATTTGGTATGCGCTGTATGAAGCGTCTTCTGTGACATGCAGACCGCGGGGAGCACAGCTCACTAGTCAATATCGACCACAACCCCGCAATGGACTGCCTGAAGCATCCAAACCTCAAAGGCACCTTTAGAGGCAACGTAATCATCTGAGTTCCATCTCCTCTTCCCAGATGACGCTCAGATGACGCAAATCTGTAAGGCTTGGGATTGTTGTAGTCGTTGATATGGTTTCTGCCTAGGAATCGAAAATCTACTATCCGCCAAAGCAGGATCTTCCTTCTTTGAAATTTCCTCGTCGACTAGAGCGTGTGTTTTCAATCTGTATGGCCGTAGTGAGTTGGATAGATGACTACTTTATTGTTGTTTCCATGTCTTGCTCTTATATTTTTCTACCTACGTTAGAGGCAGGCTTTGATCGCGTCCTTTGAGATCTCTCGTAGCGCAAGCTTACATGTGTAAATCAACCTCAGAAACACCCTTAGTACCTCTCGAACTCGGGGTTGTATTCACACTCGCCCCCTAACGTGTGTCTCTAGTATAGAAGTGGAGGAGGGTGCCGGAGAGGGCATCATCCCCTATCTCTAGACGGTCGGGGACTGGGTGTTTGCGGAGGTTTATGTCCCGCACCGTGGACAACCGACGCTGAAGTGGTCACAGAACATGTGCAGGATGGAAGCTCTCGCTAGAAAACGTCGTCAAAAATGAACTGAACGGTGCTTGCCTGACAAAAGTGCGTTTCAATATTCAGATCCCGAGGCTCAACCCACGCGGCCGTGCACAGATAAGTTGAAAGGGTGGGAGTAGTTGATGGGGGTGGTTAGACATGTAGGGGGTGGTTGGAGTAAGGGGGACCTCTCATGTATCCCTGGTCATACAAGTATTCACAAAAGAATTCTTCACAAAATGGGATCGGGGTTCATCTCAAGCCGCAGCATCGATTTCTATTGGTCTATCTATGGCATGATAATCAACAAGTTCCTAAACGGGTCAGGTCCACGAAAGGTATGACTATGGACAGTGAATTCTGTTGAACCAAGGAGCTCAGGCGCGGTGAAAGCCCAAGAAGCAAGTGATTGGGCCTAATTGCTAGCGTCATCTTTGTGATAACAGCCGGCCATTATGAACAAATTAATTACGCCCACGAAGGATTCAACGGTGGGAACTGATCGATGAGACAAGGCATGATGTCATACAATTACTTTCGTATGGGAGGCGTTGCCTTTTCTACATCTTTGCTTATGTCGATATCAGGCACCGCCTTCGTGGGCTTTCGATAGTCGCCTAAAGACCCAAGCACGCCGGCCGTGACAAATCCGACTCCTGTCAAAGTCTGAGCAGTGATTGTGTTAGAAGCCCAACAATGTAAATGTAAGTGTTGACTCACTTTGAGTGAAGCTGTATATGGTGAAAGCAACGACGGGCCAATGGAAGCAATCATAAAGCCAACTGCTTGCGCATAGTTCTTCGCTACAGTACTGCTGACACGAACTGACCATGCTACTATAAACCCACCTGCTGCCTGAAGGAACACGAATGCCCAGACAAGAATCTGGTATCCTTTGAAGAACGAAGCAGTCTCATTGCCCCCAGGATTCGTAATAGTAGTTGCAAAACGTGTCAAAAGACTCAGGCCTGCGCAGAGACACGCGTAAGCCGCAAGCTGGGCATTCCGTACAATGAATTTTGTGGGACCCTTGAGGATTGATTCCATCAAAATACCAGCAAGAGCAACACAACTTCCGGATATCAACATCGAAACTGCCCCCAATCGTATGTCTTGGCCGTACTTCAAGTCGAAAGTCGCGGTAGATGACGCTGTGGTTTGGACCAGTACAACTCCTGCCGCTATCGTGAAGAGACATAGCCATTGCAACATCGTCAACGACTGTCGAAGGACTACCACAGAGAATATGGGCGTCAAGATAAGCTTCAGTTGTGAAAGAACAACGAACGACATGCCGTCTAGATTCCGGGCGCCCAAGCTTTGTAGCACGGCCGCAATGGTGTACAGTACAGCCGGAGCCGCGGCTTTCAGATGGCCATCTCGAAGATTATCGGTGGCCAGCTGTATTCTGCTGACTTTTCCTAGCTGCGGTGCCCCCCCGAAGCCCAGCACGACAACACAAACGATCAATTTCAAGGTCTCAGAAAGTATCACTGCCGTCAGGGGCTCGTATCGGTATTGATCGTCAAGGCTCGGCTGTTGAATTTTGTGCAGCAACTATCCGCAACTTCGATAAGCAGTCAATTGAGAGACATGAGACGATTGGGAACGCACGAGAAGCGAGAGGGAGTTCTGAATGACAAGCTTGATTGAGGTCAGTTTCTGTAACTTGCGGCCAAGAAAACGTACCTACCAGTGTCAGACTGGTGCTTGCTGCCCAGGGGGCACAACGAGTCTGAGTCTCAATATCATCACACATCGCGGTCGCCTTTTTCCGAGAAAAGGGAGAAACCTTCGAATGGGAAAAACCCGAGACAAATTGTTGGCTGCAACAAGGGCCGAGTCACTAGCGGGATATGCCGACCTAAGGTCAAGGTGGATGTGCTCATGCATCCCTGATTAAGGCACTGCTAGCAGCTAGGCTGTGCCCCTTAGGCAGGTATGATTCATGATGAGTTGCCCTCATCCTCCATCGGGTTTCATAGACATGGCCCGCTGTCATTTGAGCCGCTTACACCGGTCCACTGCATCACGATTTATGATAGTTTGAGTTCTCTCTAGGTCAAATGTTCTCCGAGCTACCCCATGCACCCGACTGCTGCTGGGTACGATGGCGGCGTGATTCGGCTCAAACGCGGTCTATTTTCGTCAATGCGGAGTCTATTCTGCTGCCTAGCGTCGCCCCATTTTTAGTACTTGAAGGTGTGGAAGCCGCTGTCGATGATGGAGAAAACTGCCAGGCGCATTCCGAACAACTCCAACCAGGGCTTGCATCAATCGCATTCAATCTCATTCTATTGGGGATAAATGGTGAGTCCTTTGTATCTCACTTCAATTATCTGACAATTTCTCGCCAGATATAAATCTCCTCTCATCTGACTTACACTATCGATAGCATGGAGGTCACATGTATCTCAGTTCTGGAAAATAATAATCGAACCTCGGGTGCAAATTACCCCTTGAAGACAGTTACCCACTAGCGCCAAGACGGGATAGAGTCTGCGCCTCACAGCTGAACTACACTTGCCTACACTGGGTTGACCAACCAAAAGGGATACGAGATCTCAAGCAGAAGTCTGGCACACCCACACAGGACAAGTATCCCAGCCGCCTCTCGGTCTCGGTTTCTATCAACTGCAGAGACTACCGCTGAACGCTGAAGGCACCAACATAGGCAAAACTGAATGAAATGCGCATGATACCCAAGCTTAGCACATGGGCTGCTGTCCACGAGCATTTACCGATGTTCGAGCTCGACTTTGCCAATTGATTGTTCACAACCACTTGACCACTTTGACAGTACCTAAGGTAGGTATCTGAAAGGCTAGTGGAATGTCACGTGGAAGACACAACTATCAAGAATGTCATTGCGGACACACAACACATTTAAATGCTACAGGAGTTTCGCCGGCTGTTTTCCCGAGAATGAGTGCTTTTAAACAAAGAAACAATTCCGTAGCGCATCTCGGCCCAGCGCACAAGCAAGTGTACAGACTGGGGCAGTGTCTCCGGCCTCGTGTCCAAAAGTGGCTAACAAAAGCGCCGTCTGGTGTTCCTTGCAGGGGCGATCAAGTACTTAGCTTGAGTACGAGACAAGTCTTGTTCTTATTCGTGCTCGTAGGGATTGTGGCGGAAGGGTCTTTTCGGCACCCATGAAATCTAGCCTAGCTAAACCCCAGTAACGAAAACTACGCGCGCCGGTAAACATAAAAGAGCCAAGGGGTTTACATGCCCGCCTTAAAAGGGTCTAGCGCAGAACTGTACACATTCTGTATTTCTGAGGGGTCTTGTGGTTAGGTCCAGGGGAAACCCCCACACTGCGGTACACCTACTTGATTGTCAGTCCCGCAGCAGCGTTCTTTTAATCTCACTGGCCCCGACATGCAGAGAGTCTGGATTATTTGTCGCTGTCTGACGTTATATGGTGATTTAGAAGATGCCGTGGACGCTAGATGCCATCACCAGCGATGGCAGCCGGGCCTCGGCCGAACAGCGAGGGAGGGGAACCTTTCAAGTCTTGAGACGGCTGACATTCCCCCGAAGGATACAGGCTCTTCTCGCCGTCATTCTCACAGTCTTCGTATTTGCTACGACTATTCTGTTTCTAGGACCTGAAAATCGACCTGCTCCTATCAACGATTTTATCGAATCACCACCCTGGCAGCCATATTGGACAACGGAGCAACTTGAACCCAAGTTTGCATATGCTCAGTACGCGACGAGTCTCGACTACCTGTGCAATGCGGTGTGTTCAATACGGAATTCGAAGGATGGAACAAAAAGCACTAATTGTTTTGTTTTTAAGGTGATCAACTTCGGACGCTTGCGGCGCTATGGCGCAAAGGAAGACTTGGTTCTTATTCACCCTAAAGGATGGCTTGAAGGAGTGAGTTACGAAGGCCCAGAGCTACATGTCGTTGCTTTGCTAACAAAAATATTTCTACTAAGTCGTCTCGTGAGGCAAAGGCTTTAGCGAAACTCAAAGAAGAACGACCGGAAATCCACATGCGAGCTTTCGATGTTATCTCGACGACCAAGGGCGACGCCACCTGGCGGGAGAGCTTGACGAAGTTTCACGCCTTTGCGCTTACTGAATGGACCCGAGTCCTCGCCTTCGATTCCGATTCACTCGTCCTGAACAAGATGGACCACTACTTCCTGAGCCCGGCAGCACCCGTCGCCGTCCCGAGAGCATACTGGCTCAACGAAAGGAGCGCCGACATCGCGAAGCAAGTTCTCGGATCACACGTCATGCTTATCGAACCGAACGAAGGACGTTACAAGAAGATCATGGATGAGGCTCTACGATCCGGAGACTTCGACATGGAGGTTGTCAATCACATGTTCAAGGACTCAGCAATGATCCTTCCCCATCGCCGTCTCGCTTTGTTAACTGGGGAGTTTCGCGCCAAGGACCATACAAAGTATTTGGCACCCGAAGAAGACGAGGAGTGGAATGCTATGGGAGAGGTCTCGAGGTCGTTCCTGGTTCATTTCAGTGACTGGCCTTTGCCAAAGCCATGGTTGCCGAGGACGAAGCAACAATGGGAAGCGGCTTTGCCGGAATGCTCGGAGGACGACGTGGAAAGGGAAGACAGACCAAGATGTGCTGACCGAGTGATGTGGTCTGGCTTCTATGAGGATTACGACCGGGAGAAGTCTGAACAATGTAAAAACCTTTCTATCTGAACCCTAATATGAGATTCTATCGATATTATTGAAAATGGGTGTACCACAGTGCGTCAATTGTTGTCAGCCGCGTCAAGGTACCATAGAAGTCGGAGTCAATCAATCACTAAGAAGCTTGCAGACAAAATGCACCCTATTGGTTCGACCTGCTGCCATGTTTTTACCCGCCAGGCCCGGTCCTTCCCGGAAAATGCTACCAAGATACCAATTCCGACGAATCATCGTTGCTTGCGCCCACACCTGGAGATCACGCGCATCTGCGCTCATGACGTTATGCCAAAGCCATGCCGTTCACCGCATTTCGCCAGAAACCGTCTAATAGTATCGCAAATCATCAATCATGTGTCACTGGCTTCAAAACAGAGTGGATGCTGGTTCCGTAACACTCTTTCCAAGTTTGTCGAAGATTTGGGCTTCATGACAGTTGTCAACGATGTGGTTCCGTGTCAGCCATCTGCCGGAGAAAAGCGTGCGTGGGTTGGAATTCCAGCTTCCTTGTCCCCGCCAGTATCGTGCTCCAAGTCCAGGACCAAATTCGACTCCGGGCACGCCTGTTTGATGGCCACTTGTTGCAAATTACAGTAAGCGCATCGGTTTGCTTTGCAACTTAAGCAAGCATCGAATTGAATAGAGTTAGGACCAGTACCACATTGGCACTATGCATGCGTCGTGTTAGCATCGCGATCTGAATGGTTCCGAGGTCCTAGCCATGGGTTGCACTCACACAAGTCCACACTGTGACTGTCTTTCTCTTAGGGCTTCGCTCTTGCAGGTTCATGGTGGAGAGTTTGAACATAACGCCAATCGATTCGGCAGGTGACAGCGTCCTGTTGCAGAGATGAATTTGCTCAGAGTAGTTGCACTTAGCTCCGAGAGAATGTGTCGGCTCGCGGACAATCAACCAAAAGGATCGTGATATATATTGATAGCGATTCTCAGCCTCAAGGCAGAATCGAGAGATCATGAAATTCGACGCAAAGGTACTCTACAAGGTCGGAGTGCCTCGCATCTGAGTACGCTGAGGTTGTACGTTGCCTGGTCTGTGTATCTTGCAGGGATGTGAAGCCCGGGTGGCATGTGAGGAGAGCTGAAAAAGCAAGCATTTTTAGTTGCATCCAATAGGCGGCCTCCAATCATCCGAGATCGGCTCTTGGTGTCATGGGTTGTTCACAGGGTATCTCACGTAGCATCGTGAGACGACGTAATGCCAAATCCAACCCCTAGCATTTGTGATTCGTGTTACTTTCGCACAAAGCTGGGGAGCAGAACACTGATGTGGCAGATTTTATAAATAGACTTGGACAAGATACGAGTCGTCAAGGAGGACGGTAGATACGGGTAGCTCTTTTATTAAACTGATGGAACACCAGGCGCCCAGTTCGTTAGCACTGTCGAAATTGATCTCGGGGGCCGAGCTATCATCTAGGAAGCGTCTCGGCCAGGTCCTTCGGCCGCCTTTTCCGCAAGAATGATGGGTAAGCAAAGGTCGAGAGTCCTGTCCCCGTTGCCTGGCTGCCGGCGTCTATTTCCAACCTCTTTTCCGTTGCATCTAAAGTCGACTGATCAGGACGACCTTTCCATTCCTCATACCATTTTCTGACCGGGTGCAGACTCCATGTTACCACAGTCAAGATCAATGTCAAAAAAAGAAACCAGACCACCACGTTTCCAACGACTATGCCAGCCTGCACGATACTACCAGCAAGCGCCATCGGAGAGAAAACCTGCAGCTAACCACAGTAGATTGATTAGCAAATGGTCATTTAAGAAGAACAAACCAATGTCTGAGGCTATGGATATGTGTTCTTACGATCGTAACATTGAGGTGCTGTAATTTGAGAGCCCGGACACCTTCGACGGCAATGTGGGTTTCAAGCTGCAAGCAGATATATCAGTCGTTGATCAAGCGCAAGATGCTGACTGTGAAAGGCTTACTTGTGAAGCGAAATTATCAACAATAGCCTTCAACTTCTTGAACTTCTCAAACGTCTTTTCTAAATCTTCTACATATTCCAATATCTTGTCGAAAGAGTTGTCCATGTGTGATGACGTAGACTCATCAGCTTGTGCGTCAATCCGGGAAGCGTCTTTGTCAAGAAACTTCCGCAAGACTTTCAAACTTGTTTCAAGCATCTCCATAAGTCGATTTAGAAGATTGCGAACTTGGTTGAGCCATTCTCCACTCCCTTCCACAGCCGCAGAATCTCCATCTGTAGTACCGAGATTGGTGTTGCGTCTTCTCAATAACAATGATGGCTTTGATAGCTAAATGGGCAAGTATGCGGATTAGCCAAAAGGATCATAAATGAAACCAGATAGAATCGACCACCATTGGCAACTCTCCTACCAGGGTCATCTCAAATCGTAGTACGCCAGCTATCAGAATTCTGATTCATGGCCAAGGCGGGAACAATAATCATGGAGGTATAAACTCACATATTGATTGATTCTCTGGCCAAGGTGGTACACTACATTCATCCATATTTCCCGGAGTCGCATGATACGGACCTTGATGATGAGAAGAAAGTATTCTCGAGGATCCACGGCTGCGACCTTGTCTGCAGTGAGCTTTCCAATACTCAGTGGATCGAGGTCTGGATCGTCGTCGTCTGGGTCTTTGGCATAGTGCGGCAGCATGTACGGGTCCTCGGCGTCGGTTTGGCTTTTGAAGTATGAATCTACCAGGCAGATGGCAGTCCAGCTGGAAGTATCCCATCCTGTCACTATGAATGAAGTTTGACACTCATACAAATAGTCAGTCTCATCCAGTGTTTGACCACCATCTTGACTATGGTTGACCGATGTCGCTAAGAAAGAGAGGTCGATAGTTTTACGCAAAGCGTCCATATTTGTCGTGCGACCCAGGTCGTCTTTCTTGGGCTGACCCTTTTGCCAGATCAGACATGGCATGTGAAACTCCAAGATGAAGTCATCTCCTTCCTGAAAACGAATTAGAAAGGAAACAACACAATATCAGCCATTCGGGACATACGCTTGACTTGAGGCCAACGGAGGTACTGGAATCTAGGTAATCAAACAAAAGCTGTCTAATAACCTGCTTCTGCTCATATGATGATCGAAGAGCCAAGACGCCCAGGGCAGTGGGAGAAGGATTTGGAATGTAGCTGACAGGTTTAGTTTGATTATCGACATGCAGAAGTTATCTCCGCATGATGGTGTGTTTCAACTTACATTCTTCTCCTCACAGCATTCTCCATGCCATCCTCGCCTATGCGCTGCAACATGTAAGGTCAGTGTTCCTTAACGACATGATTGGGCATTATTATTAACCCCTGCAAAAGTGCTAATGAGCTTTGCAGGCGCCTATCATGGCTGGGGTGCTTCGTACCTTCAACCTAGTGTGTTCATCAAATTGTTTCATCGAACTGATGCCACTATAGTGTCGAGAACCATTGTTCTTATCCATGTCGTGTAACCACACAGAGCTGACCTCAGGTTCATAGTCACCCGTCTGCACCTTTTCCAGGGTGTCTGGGCCAAATACCCGACGAAAGACTGGACATTCGTAGTCGAGGCGGGGGGACTTGTCAAGCACCTCCAGAAACAAGTCGAAGAAGCTCTGCGTCGTTGGTAGCTCCCCGTCAATCCAAGGGATGCTGTCCGATGTTCTGTTCGTATTGGGCTTGATCCATCTGAATGATCGTTGGGGACGGGACCGTGACATCGAAGAACTCATACTGCTCGCACATGATGACTAGAGCAAAGACAGAATATGATCTACGACCTCTCACGTAGAAGATGGAAGACATTTTGAGGGTTTTCGTCATGAAACGCTGATCCGGGCTGATATACATGCAATGCGTGAGGGGACCTGCAGCCCCAAAATTGGACTCGACCACACGAAGCATCGTTCTGAAAGCTCAAGTTGGCAGTCCAAAGCGATTGGACTATGTTCAGAGAAATTGCTTCAAGACCAATTACTGAGGAGAAGCGCCCGGTTAAATGAATCACAACAGCCCAATAAAGAGGCAACTCTTGGCCAGCCCCCCCCTATTGCATCTGCAAAGCGGCCCGACGTGGCAGGTTGGGTTGGAGGATGACTGCATAAGACCACATGCCCAGGGCCCTGGGTATGTCACTGAATCTCCAGAACCCTCTTTTGACGCCGCGCAACAAGCGCTCTCTTCACTTTGGGGCACGATCGTGCTCATAAATGTCGGTCGTCCCAAGCTCTTGCCATCACAATACTCTAAACTCCGGGGCGGTTTGTCTCTCTACGCGGACTGTGAGGCAAGTCAGGCAACCGCACTAGGGTGAGCCAGCAGTTTGGGAGCCAACGAGCAATAAACACGCACGCGTCAGACATGACTTTTGCTGCTACACCCACTATTTGATCAGTAGAAGTTCCCAACACCTCACAAGAATGATTTCGGGTACCCAGCAAATGAAAGCAGGGCTGCATGCCTGCCCAGACATTTGTAAATGTGCAGGGGAAAAAAAAGGCAGCACCAGCACTATGACGGGGCGGCGGTAGTCCCAAGTTCTCGCTGCATATGCAATATCACCGCTAGAGGACGGCGAAAGCAAAATGCCGAAAGCGGGCCTACAAGCATTTCTCGAATCCCATGTCCCAAAAAAATGAGGCCATGAGCATTTCGGGAAAAAGTCCCCCGATGACTTACCGAATCTTATCATGTGCTATAAAATGTCAGCTGAATGCCATAGAGCGGTGTGCAGAACTGCCCAATCGAAGGAAGCTCAGCCACACTCGTTCTGGCACAACCATTCATAGGGGCCTACCAACAGTGTAGGGGTTCAGTGATGTCACTTGGCTGTGCTTGTGACTCTAATGAATACCAGGCATCCGGTTGCCTTCTACTGGTTGCCTGCCCTGTGCCTGGATTGGACGTCGTTCAACGGGATGGCCCGTAGGAGGCAGACTGATTCAAAAATAAAAAATGATGCAAAGAAACTTTTCCATAGATATGCGAGGGCGCCTGTCTGCCTGGATCTCGCCGAACATGGGTCGCCGGAGCCGGGAACCGGCCCCACTCGTCATCGGCCGCGCTCCACATGAGTGATTGATCAAACATAATTGTAGTCTGTAGAAAAGACTACACGTCCCCGGATTCCGCCCGAGAATCTCAATTGATCAATCTTCTGGTCGCAGAAAGTGGTGATTCCTGATCATAGCTTTTGGCCGATTCGGGTTGTTGTGAGAACAAATGGCTCGAAAGATGAGTAACTTTTCTTTCTCTTAGTATTCTACCAGTTTTCTCTAAGCCCCGAGTATTCCACCTGAACACCATGAATTCAATTGAATCTAGTAAAGATGCAAGTCCCAGGCTTTTCCTTGCCCCCAAAGTTTTACTCGAGTCGGAACATGGAAACGGCATGAAACCCCGCTGCCACCAGCGAACAAATCTTTGGCTTTTATTTCCCATTTGCCACTCATATATCCCCAATCTTGCAGCATCAAGTGATGCTGATGATGTTGAAATTCTACGGGAAACTGAGTTCATATCGGGGCAAAAGCGGCTGGAGCAAAATTACGGTCAGATAAAAGATCGTTATCAACACAACAACACGAAGGACTCAGACCTGCATGCCGTGTTTTGCGACACTGCATTTTCTTTACTGCCCAGGATCAGGCTCGAACCTTTCGCACGGGGCAATACGCACAGCGTGGGTAGTGGCAATTATAGCAGTTGTCGTGCCGAATTGGATTGCCACCTTGTCCACACTGGCACTGTGGCAATGTTAGCGTTGGGGCAAAGCTTGACCAAGTGGTCTACATACACACTGCCAGAGTAGTATCTGTTTTCGCTTAGGGCCCCTTTGGGAATATTCTGGTTCAAAGCCTTCAATGCCCTCGGCAGCAGAGAAGACAAGCGGTTCCTCAAAGCTGGAGCAGCAAGGACTCAGCTTGTGGGCAATTCGGTTGAGTTCGAAGCACATCCAGGAAGTCCAACAATGGTGATGCGATACTAAGTCGTGGGTGTCTTCAATGACTTCCTGAGAGCAAGGCTTGCAAGACGCAAGAGATACCCCGGAGCTGATAGATATCGAGGAGGAGAGTTTCCGACGCTTGACCAGGAATGAAGAGTCCCGACCAGCAGCTCCCTGCACGACCTGCGGGGCTTCTGATTCAATGCCTGCAAGTAGCAAACTTAGACACCTGATCAAAGACGTCAGGTCAATTGGGATACTGCCTAAGTCCAGACGATGATGCCCGGCCGTTCTGTCGAGACGTTGAGGAGCCCAAAGCTTGAGATGGGCTGACGTGCGTGAGGGGCAATGCGTAGAGCTGTCCAATGGAGGCCTACGCGATTGGTCAAGCCCTGAAGCGCCGATAGCGAGTGGGTCGGTACTCCAATGGGACATCGAACAGCGGAAATTGACAGCTTTCCACGTGTATTGGGATCGAAACGACGACCGTACAGTCAGGCCGCTTTTGATTTCAGGCAGTCAATGGGGTTTTGTTTGTTGCTATTCCAGCTTTGTGCGTAGAATTTCGATCGTAAAATATTTGTGCCGGTGTCGGCTCCCTGCCGAACATCGATTAGCTAAGGTACCTTAGTTATGCAAGACACACCGCCCCTTGAAGAATAAAGAAAGGAGCTGCTGGGTGGCTTATGTATTTATGCAGGGGATATATGTATGATCGCGTGTTTTGAGCAAGATGCAAAAGGAATGTGCGGAGATGAGATGAGCACCCGGCAGGATATAAGGCCAATCTGAGCTAGCCGGGAGTAGCTCTTGCTAATCTAGGCCGCCAGTAACAAGTGTTTATCACTCCATTGGTACTAAAGCCTCGACGTAGGGGTTGCCTTCATTAGTCTTGTCCTTCATTGTGATATTGTCTGTCTTTCAAGACTCAGCCGTTTCAAGCCAGCTGAATCATTCACGATAAATGAATCCCACTGGGGTAGGTCAGAAAGCAGGACGACATCTGGGTCGATTTCATGGTACAAAGTCCCGCGTATATGAAACTCAATTCTCACTTTGTGACCAGATACTACAGTGTATGTATCCTGATTACCGAGAAGAACAAGAAACAAGGCAACTGCAGCCATGGGAACTCGTGAGAATGGGTGAGCTTTCAATTACACTTGGCCAATTGAGAATCGCCAATCCGCGCGCCGTGAAACGATCCAATAATCTGGGCATCATCAACATGGAGAAGCCGGGAGACGCATTTGAGCACGGAATGCCACTGAGACAGCGAGGCACGGTAATTAATGTCTTTCGTGCTAGACATTTGATTGGGGGGGAAGTCTGCAAAGAAGCAACGGCAGTTGCAGATCACGGAAAATCACCCGCCAGGCTGCCCGAGGCAGCAGTTGAAATGTTTGTTGATTTCATAAGAGCACTAGCATTCTTGAGGGGGTTAATTGACCTCACATGTTTACGTTTTATCTCCCGAAAGCCAGCCTGGGCAGGCTGAAAAGAAAATGACGTGATGAGCGAAGGAGCATTAAGATATCAACGGGGAACCTATCTTCAAACACGAACATGTGAAACGTTGCATTACGTACGACTCATGAAATGCAGTGGTACGTGGTACATTACACCAATTTGCGTTATACAGAACGCGGCGTGAGGCTGGATGCTTTTCGCCACAGCCACAGTCGGATAATTACTCCTTCGTCTCCTTTCTTTGAGCTATTCACTGTACGGGAGAAATTCAACAGAACGATAATCCCTTGAACTACTGCTTGAGTTCGACTTCAGTGTCAAAGTCAAGTCCCCTCAAGTTCGAGTGAACTAGTAATATTCCTAAACTTGTGGGCTCGTCACATTACGACGCCGTGCTTCCTTCGCTTCTCCTCTATCAAGTTGTCTGATGAATGGTCTCTTCAATGCAGTGAGTAAGAATTGACTTCTGGAAATGAATTCTGGACAATCAACGATTCAAAGAACGACTAGCCAGAAGTCTACCGAATCTTTCTTGCCACCCAAACCTGAGCAGAATAGGCATTTCTTGTTAGTGCCCTATCGTTGAAGCCGTAAACAGCTTGCTTCCCCCTGATCATGTCCGTCTCAAGGTTCAGATCTCCACATAATTCATCAGTGTTCAGAAATTCGAAACCCATCTCCTTGGCAACAGCCACAATTTCCTCCAGTGAAAGCTGAACAAAAGGGCCTGTACCCCACAACAGCGGTCCGAAGTTGACCCAATAACCCCCTAGCTTCAACACTGAGTGAATTGTGTCAAAGTAACTCATGACGTTTCTCGCAGTGTCGATGAAGAAGTAGGTAACAACTGAGTCAAATTGCCCCTTATGAGACTTGAACTCCGAAACAAAGTCGCCTTCGACAAGTAGCACGGAGCTGGCATTGACTCGGATGTCAGGAAAGGAGACGCCGCGAAGCATATCGGCGTTCGTCGCGTGATGAGACCATGAGTCAATGAAGGGGTGCACGGATTTTGATCCAGGGCCAGGATGTGTCTCCACGAAGCGGTATGCCAAGTTCATGAACATGGACCATTCATTGATAGTGACATCGAAGCCACTTAGACCGGCGAGCTCGTGTCCAAGTCGCCCAAGACCAGATCCAGGGAGCAGGACCTTGACCTCGGTCTCTGACCGGTCTGGGAAAAGAGACTTCATCGTTGTGAGAATGCAAGGAAAACCATCATCGCGCTCTCCTTTGCCTGATGTAGACCAATCCCTGACGAAATGCTTCAAAGCTTGAGAAACGCTGACTCTGTCCGCGAGCTGGTTGGCAGCATCTTTGGCCTTGCTGTGAGCACTGAGCTCCTCCTGCGAAATTTCGTAGTATTCCAATGCAGTCTGCACAATTTCGTCACATAACTGTTGATTGACGTCGTGTAGCTGTTCAGTAATTTCAAACTTGTGTGAGTACCCGATTGCCTTCTCCAGCACCTGATTAGGCAATTCGGTCAGTAAAGGGGTGGAATCTCGGTGAGCTTGCTAAGACATACTCTCTTCTGGGTCTTGGGGACGTGGGTGTATAGATCTTTCCATCGGTTCAGTTCGGCCATCTGTCTCGCCTTGTAACGGCTGAATCCGAAAAGAGCCTCCATGAGACGGTGGCGAGGATGATTGGTGTCCCACTTTCCGTGAGACTTGCTCATTCGCTTCATGAGATTCCTCTTCTCTTGCTCATGGCGTTGACTCGGCCTGTCCGGGACGTCTGCGAGGGTAACCAAGACTTCGTGAACCTCAGTAAATGAGTCAAGTGGCATCTATAATGATATCAGCTCCAAAAATTTGTGATCTCGTGCAGCGCCTTCTGTAACACGCCGATATTGAGCAGCAAACTCACAGAAGCGATGATCTCCTGTGCGTCACCATCCCTAATCGCACCTTCCACCTTCTCAATCACATCGCTTCCTAAATGGGCCTCATCATTTGCACAAAGAACGCCACAAGCGAAGCTAGTGAGTAGCCATGAGACTGGATGAGACAACTTCATGGTCGCCTGGAGAGGCCGTCGTGCTTGTGGGCTGTTGGGTCACGAGGTAGAGAACCGGCGTTCGTGAACAGCGACGACAACAAATGGTGGTTAAATGAGATAATGACAATTGAATTGAAGCAAACAGACTTCCTGGAAGGGATCAAGTGAAAAGCGGAAAGTTGTGGTGAGTGAGGCTGAAATTTCTAAAATTTGAATTACGCGCGCTGTATGAGATCGAGAACCCTGATGGCCGCCAAGACCACCAACGTGAAAAATCACCACCAACGACCCAGCCGACATGCGACATTTCTCTTGGATGCTCATCCCGCTGCAAAAGTTCCCGTAAGAGCCCCATCTTTCTCCTCTTTAGTCGTCACTTTCATAATCATGCTTTACCTCAGTTCCCCCTCTCAGCGTCCGCCGTCAGAATCTCATTCAACCGGTCGCGCTTCACACAGTTCTCCAACGCAAAGCTCGCCGCCAGCTCCTCCAACTCCTCCTCCGTCTTTCCCTTGAACAGCTCCGCAAACTCCCAGCCGTGGTACTCGCTCAATAGGCACTCCCTCACCACGCGCTCGACCTGGCGATCGAACGTCCACGTCTTGGGGTACTTCTTCTTGTGCAGGTGCTCCGGCAGCGTCGACTTCAGCTTCGCGATGAAGGGCCCGTAGACCTCGTCGTCGATGCCGCTCTTGTCGGCGCAGCCCCAGAAGTCGAGCCCGAGGCGCTGCTTCTTCTCAATGAAGGGCCGGATGAGGCGCATGTAGGGGCTCTGCGGGTCGACGTACACCATGCCCTGGTAGCCGACGTCCTTGTACAGCCAGATGCTCCACGAGATGCCGCCGAACTCGCGGTAGATCTCGAGCTGCTCCTTGAGCAGCGCGAAGCGCTTCTCGTTGGTCGCGGCGGCGTTGGCGTCCGTCGCGGGGTCCTGGTAGACGGGGCCCCACTCGCCGTTCCAGATGGGGACGCCGGCCTTCTGCATAAACTCGACCTTGCGCTTCAAGCTGGCGCGGAGCTTCTGCTTCTGGGCGTCGGTGCCGTCGTACTGCTCGGGCAGGGGGAAGCCGTAGAGGCTGTAGTCGTGGCAGCTGTAGACGCTGTTGGGGAGAGTCTTTTCGGGGTTGAAGGCGGAGAAGTCCATGGCATAGGTGTTGCCGTCCAGGAAGAGGATGTGGTCGGGGTCGATGGCGCGGATGGCCTTCTCGGCGCGCTCGTACCACGCGATGAGGCGGGTGTGCTTGGGGTCTGCGGGCTCGTTGAGGGGGTTGTAGCCCGCGATCACCTTGTTGCCCTTGTAATGGGTGGCGAGGGCCTCCCAGAGCTGGATGGCGCGGTCTTGGAAGTCCTTGAACTCCCAGAACAGCGCCCTTGAGATGCCGGAATCGCTGTGCCAGTCCTGGTTCTGACCGCCTGGTACAGCGTGGAGGTCGAGGATGACGTAGATGTTGTACTTGGCGCAGAAGTTGACAACCCGGTCGAGCAGCTCGAAGCCGGACTTCTTGATCACGCTCGGGTTGTCGTCGTCCATGAAGTGGCGGTAGTTAAAGGGCACACGCAGGCAGTTGAGGCCTAATGATGCGAAGAGGGCAGCATCTGCCTCTGTGAAGTAGTAGTGAAGGAGACGGGAGAAGAAGAAGTCGGCCTTCTCCTTGCCAAGAACCTCTGTTAGGGCTTCGCGGTGCTCGTGCTCGTGGCCGGTGTAACCTGTGATGAAATTCTCCATGTTGTGCATGCCGCCCGTGGCAGCGCCCTTGAGGATGACTTCTTCGCCATTCTCGTTGACGATCTTGGTGCCGCTGACGCGGAGCATCGTGCAGGGGGGGTTGGGTGTGGTGGGTGACATGATTGCGGACGTGGTCTGAGGTTTGGTTTGGCCTGTAGAGCCTCTTAATCTTCTCGAGGGGAGTCCTTTATACCCGGCTTATTGCATTGAGTTCAACGGGCCGGGAAACGGTCCCGATTATTGGGCCCTAGGGCGTCCTTGGACTCTTTTGTCATCGCGCATCAGGTGGTGAGGTGTCCCGGATTCTTAAGTGCGACATTCCGCGATGGAGGGTGGAAGTGGGTCGTCTCCGGAACGCTTTCCCCAGTTATTCGGGACGCCAGACTGGATGAACCCGGATCTGGGGTACAGACACCCGCGCGTGACAAAGAGCAGGGATGGCAGCGGGGTGTTGGCGGGGGAGCTAGTTGTTCCGAGTGAGCTCACTCCCGATGCTCGACCCAGCAATCGGGTTGCTTTAGAGAGGTCACATCGGCTCCGTTTCCAAGCTTCGTATGCCGAGCGTCGATGGAGAATGTGTTCAGGCTGAATTGCTATGTGGGGTAATTCAAGGCTTTTACCCGTGAATCTGGACCATTGTCTATGATCCTAAATGATATGCCGACGGGGATGTTCCGGGTGCGAGCGCGCGTGTTTCTCCCAATAGCCTCCGTATCTTTGACACCTGTGGAACCTCACCTTGCCAAAAGGCGAGTAGGTCCACGATCCCGTCCACACCAGTCTCCCATCCAGAGGGCATCTGACAGGTTTCCTCAGAGCCATTGCTCCTCCCTGTCTCGATAAGCATAGCGGCTGCCGTCAGGACTAGCGCACTTCGTGAACAAGACCTCATCAGCGGAAGTGTTCCATGATGGCGATGATAGTATCCCGGTTGATTCACTCTCAGCCGTTCAAGGTGTATTTCGAGACCCTTTTGCACAAAGGCAATGCAACAGTCTGGTAGAGGCCCGCTGATACAGCTCGGATTCGCGCCCAAGCCATCAAGATACGCAGTGACAAATGGCCAGTAGATGTTTTCAAATAGGTTTATGGCGTGTCCTCTAAGCACAAATCTGCACACGTCGTCCTGTTCCGGAGGCTCGTTGAACGATAGCCCGGGTGTAAGTGACGCGATCCAACCTCGTGCCTGTTCCTCATACTGCGGGACTGCCGTGGCCAGGGCTGCGAGGTATGCTTGGCGCGTGGGATGCTCTTTTTGGAGACCCACCATCTCGGCGCTAATCCGGGACGCGAGTCTGCGGAGAGATATCTCGGAGAGGTAAAAGTACCAGGAGGTCCTCTCTCGTGCCAGGCGTGGGTCACTGGCAGCCTCAACTTCAGCCCTCGGGGCCGGTGGCGTTGGGAAGAAGGGAGGGTAGAACGCGAGCTCCTTGTCGCTGAGGGAGAAGTCGGGTAGATAGAGATCTCCTCTCATCTCCCGCTCGGACTTCCATGAAGACCAGTAGATGGCTTGCTGGAGTGTGTCAATGGAGTAATTGTGTAATTCGTTGCCCGACTCGACGTAGTTGTGGTAGCGTTGCTGAGATTCAGGGGTAAGAAAGGGGAGTTGCTGACAACTGGCGAGCGCCTGCACGAAGTATCGCCATGCCTTGACGGGCTGGAAGATGCACATCATGTAAACCCCTGACAGGAAGAGACACTGAGCCGCAATGATGTCGTCCGACGACAGTAGGATCCCGAGTCTTTTCTGAGCCGCCTGGAAGAACGATTGCGCGTTGCCGTGGGCCAGGGTCCCGGGCATGGTCTCGTGACTCGGGCCGAAGGGTGTCGCGATGGACCCTAATGCGAAAATCAGGAGAGACAAGCAGGACTCGGCAGACCAGTCGATGCCGTTCATGATGGTTGTCGACACCATCTTTCTCGTGGCGGTTTCGTCCAGGATGGGATTTTTGACATGGGCATAGCTGAAGAAGCTATCAAGCAGATCGTTGACCCTTCTTGGTTCCATGTCGAGCGCGCCCAGCACTGAAGCCGGCGAGCTCGCAGCGGCGGTGGGGTGATCGATGTGTAGCACACCGTGGTTCTCTGCGGCTTCTCTCCTCATCGTCTGGAATACGTGCCACGACATGACCTCTTCAGGGCCAGGGGGAATAATCATGCCAAGCTGAATCGGAGTCCCCACCGGCGGCGGTAATTCGAGACGTGGCTCGGCCGGGGCCTCGACTACCCTCGTCTTATTTGAAGACCCTTCAACCGAGACGGATCTCATCAACTCCTCTAGATCATCCAGTCGTTCCAAGATCTTCAGACTTGCTGGGTCAAAGCTGGACAAGTCGACAGGCGACTGTATGCAAGTCGCCCCGACCTTGAGGCAGAACGAGCATGACGGCTTCAGGTTATCGCATTTCGTCCTTCGAGCCCGGCACACCTGACAAGCCCTCACAGCTCTCTTTCGTTGATAGAATGCCGTTCCCCTAGCCGACGGACGGGTGTTGGCCTTCGTTGATGATTCCGGCTGGCTCCGGTCCGGAACCGCCTCTTCAGGCGCTAACGACACGTGGTTTTCCGGGGGAGATGGGTCAGCCATCAGGTAACAGATAAACTGGGGAAAACAGACGGGTTGCAATGGTTCGACTCTGTGGGGAAAGCAGCTGGTTCGTTCGTTTGCGGGACGGGTGAGTGATGTGGAAGCTGGAGAAAGAAAAACATGGGGAAAACGTCGCGGAATATCGCTCGAGAAAAGACACCCTTCTTCAAGGCCTAGAAAAGGCGCCTAAAGACGCTACACTCCGTTGCGTTGATAGCGTCCACCCCGCAGTTTTTAGCCCGAAAAAGGCAAAAAAAGGGGCTTTTTACCGAAAAACCACTAAATCGCCCTAAACTTTGTCTACTAATACCTCTATGCGTACGTAATGCGCGTAAATAAAAAATATATTAATTGATAGCTTTCGATTAGGTGATTATAATGATATCTTTTTTATTCTTGCGTATTATGTACGCATAGAGTTATCTAAGTGTGAAGTTAAGGCTAATTTTGAGGGGTTTTTTAAGCGGATAGTTTAACGTAACGCGCTGGGGGTTTCGTTTTTTCTTTTTAGCGTTGTGTTAAGTGTCCGCTAACCTAGAAACCCCCTTAAAACCCCCTAAACTTCATACTTAGATAACTCTATGCGTATATAATGCGCGAGAATAAAAAAGATATTATTATAATCACCTAATCGAGGGCTATCGATTGATATATTTTTTATTTACGCGTATTACGTACGCATAGAGTTATTAAAACGTGAAGTTTAGGGGGTTTTAAGGGGTTTCTAAGCTAGCGGAAAATTTTCCTTCCGGGTCAAACTTGGGGGCGGACGCTGTCAACGCAACGGAGTGTAATCCGAAACTGGATCGCGGGGAAATTTGCGGGGCACCACACGCTGGAATCGTTCCACACGCTCGGAATTTGCACCTCGGCCAAACGCGGACTCGCGTCGACTGACTTTTGGGCTGAACGAACCCTTGGCCAGACCTGACTAGCACCGGCCTAGTTTCGCTTGAAGAGTCCGCGGAGTGTCGCACTTTGTGTGTGTCTTTGCCGGGCAGAGTTGAGCAGGAAACGACGGTCAGGATGACCTCAGTTGGTAACCAACTTGCATGCCGACTTGCACCCATGCAAGCAACCATCACGAGTCGGCAAGTCCAGTAACCTGACAGCCGGAAACGATGAGCCGGACTTGGATATAATCTCAAAGGCTTCCCCGGACTTTTTGACATGATCGCCCTGTTCATTCTCCACCGCCTTACCAACCTCGTTCGGTCTCCCTTCGAGTTCTAGGCCCCCTTTCCCGTCAAAGAGTCAAACAACTCCATCTCAACTGCCGCAAGTGACACCAACGAACAGCAGCGATGGAGAAGACCGGTCCTGCGGATCACTTGGAGCCAAGTGTGTCGCATGTTCATGACCCCAAGGGCAATGCAGCAGCCACCACGAATCAACAGGAGCACGACCTTACAGTTCGCGATGTCTTCAAGAACCACAAGATCATTGTCTGGTGGTGTTTCTACTGGGCTATGGCCGCTATAGGATGGTACGAGATTAATGTTGCGATACTTACGGAAGATAGTTGGAAGACTGACAAAACGCCAATTCAGGGGTTTCGACGCCCAGATCAACGGAGCAATGATTTCCGTCGAGTCTTTCCGCCGCGACTTCGGGTACGCAACCAACACTATCAGAAACAAAGCTTGATGAGGTTCAAGACGAAGAGCTAATGATGAATCAATCAGATACGTCGAGAATGGCGAAGCAATCCTCCCAGCCGACTGGCAATCCGCCTTCAACGTCATCTCCACCGTTGGCCAATTCTTCGGCGGCTTCCTCTGCAGTTACATGGCCGACAAGATCGGACGAAAGAACTCCCTCCTCATCGGCATCGTCGTCTGCAGCGGCGGCTGCGTGGGAGAGATCCTCTCAGATACCCGGGGCGCCTTCCTCGCCTCCAAGCTCATCTTCGGCGCAGGCCTGGGCTTCTACCTCACCCTTGCCCCCTTGGCATGCAGCGAGCTCGCCCCTGTCGCTCTGCGTGGTTTTGCAACGGCTGGTGTCAACTTGGGCATCGCTCTCGGACAACTCCTTTCGAACGCTGTCGTCAAGGCCTTTGGAGAACGCTCTGATCGCTGGGCCTACCGCGGTCCCTTTGCCACGCAGCTCTTCTTCGCGTTGTTCCTGATCGTCTTTCTCCCCTTCGCCCCCGAGACGCCATGGTACCTGGCTCGAAAGAATAAGTTGGAGCAAGCCAAGAAGTCGCTGCAGAAGCTGTATGGTGCGGGGTATGATGTTGACTCGAAGCTTGCGGGGATCATGGCCACTATTGAAGAAGAGGCTCTGAATAAGTCTTCCGAGTTGGGTTTCATGGATTGCTTCAAGGGAACGAACCGCCTTCGTACTGGTATCTCTACTGGTGTCTTCCTCTGCCAACATCTGGTTGGAATTGTAAGTCCTCCACGTCCAATCAGGTTAAACTAGCTGCTAACCGGTACTTCCTCTCAGGTTTTCGTGCTAGGATACTCCACCTACTTCTTCCAACTCGCCGGCCTCGATGTCTCCAAATCCTTCGATCTCGGTGTTGGCGTAACAGCTTGCGGTGTCCTTGGAAACATAGTCAGCTGGTTCGTCGTCGAGTCCTGCGGCCGCCGCAAGGTGTTCTTGTCCGGCATGGCCTCCCTGACTCTTCTCCTCCTTGTTATCGGCATCATGGACGTCGTGCCTACGGATGCTGCGAAGTGGGTGCAGGCCGCGTGCACTGTCATCTACGCCTTCGTCTACTTCTTGACTGTCGGTGCAATGGCATTCGCCATTCTCGGCGAGGCATCAAGCACAGTGATGAGAGCCAAGACCATTGCGTTGGCGACCGCGACCCAGGCTGTCTGTGGTCTTATCATGAACTTTTCTATCCCTTATCTTGTTAACCCTGGTAAGCATATGTTCCTATTCTTGCGCGGTTTTCATGGCGGAAGACACCATGTCATGTTTCCTCCGGTTAATCATATGCAGATGAGGCAAATCTCAAGGGAAAGGTTGGCTTTATTTTCGGAGGTCTTGCCTTGCTCGGTACTATCGGGAGCTTCTTTTATGTTCCCGAACTCAAGGGCAAGACTTTTGACGAAATTGATCGTCTCTTCGCGGCGAAGGTTCCGCCAAGGAGGATGGGCGATATGTAATCGCATTTGAATAGAAACACCGGACGAACTAGTTGGTGGATAGGAATAGTGGAATAGGATTTGCAAATATCCCAAATTAATTTCGTAATAATCAGCCAGCACGGCAGCAAACCGTTCATGTGCGAGCGTGCAGTGCCTTGATTTCGCAAGGCAGTCATGGCATAGTGTGTCCAGAATCTTATGCCTATATCTGGGCAGATTCATGTTTATGCGGGAGCTCGACACTGTGTGATCCGGGGTCTTCTCCCTGGCGGAATGGTCTCCCAAGGTTTGCTTGTTGGCTGCGCAGACTTGTCAGGTTGGATCCACATCGTCTGCCCGACTACACTTACGTCTGGTGGCGATCTAGATTCGGACAGTGATGGCGAGTTCGGCATTGCATGTTCGAACTTCTCCAAGCCGGATATGCTACCTGCTACCCATGGAATCGTGGAACAGTCAGCCAGCACTTCGGGGACCGAAATTTTTGCATTCGCTTGGGACTGGCTACTGTGATTAAGCCAAACAACATCCACAAGAGTACTTAGAGTTATGTATCTCAACTTCCTCAGCTCTCAACGTCGGGCAGTGTACCGAGTAGGCACTCAAGCACGGGCCACAAGGAGTCTGTAAGCCCGTATGGCCCGTGCATATCGTGGGTCGACCAGCCCAGCCCAATCTTTCAATCGCCGCCGTGCCTAGCTCTTATGTGACCAAGAAATGCAGACGGCTACGGCTGCAGGTCGTGCTGAGAGGTACTGAATATTTGTGTACTAAGAAGTGTCAGGACTGATGCCGACCCAAAACGGTCGACTTGCTGCGTGTTCGAAGATGGCTTGATCACGAGAACAACCGCGGATTATCTCGCTGTCCCACTAAAGCAGCTCACTGATACCATCAGCTGGAGTAATCAACGGCCAGCGCAGTATCGCGGTGACGAGAATTGGTTGATCTATCTACCTTATCGATCCGATTGACGGGCGCTCAGCCCGTAGTTAGTGGGGTGCCCGGGATCCGTTTTGGAACACCGAAAATGCCGCCGCACACACTCGTGCTTTTTCATCTGTGGTGCGCTACTCTGGATCATTACACAGCCTTAGCAGCATGCAGTCGTATCTAATTAAGGTATTCCCACCAGGATCTCCCAACCATTCTTGCTTGGTGGAGCAATTGCGATGCAGCGGTTCAGCTTCTCCAGCCTGTCAAGCGAGCCCGGGAGTACCGTACGCCACCTCAGAGCCTTAGCGAAGGGTTACACAACCAATATTCGCGCTTCAATCCCAGACATACCGTCAGCAGTCGTTGGCGCTATTCGCTCTCGCGTGGAGTACTGTTGATCACGACACCAGGGATAAAATACGATGGAGGACGACATCATGCAGGACTTCGGAACATCCCAAATTGATGCCCAACCAGCCGTCGTTTGTGCACCAAGGCTGAGGTCCGCAGCCTGTAATTTTTGCTACTACTACAGCAGCCTGCTGCCCTTCCTTTGTTTCTTTTCTCTCTCATCAGTCCACTCTATTGCTTTCATCCCCGAAGATTCTTCATCTTTCCACAATGCTGAGGCAGAGGCTTGCACTCGCAAGCCAAACACAGTCTCTACGAGGCATTGGCCGACGAGGTTCTTGCCCGTTGCTGCGAGCATTGTCTACTGAGCCATCATTGCCGCCGATTGATGACGAAAGCTTGAGAAAAATACGAGCAATCCTCGCACAGAACAAGAAGAAAGCCACCCACGCACGCCAGTCCACCCACAACGGCACATACGCGGCACTGCGTTCAAAAGTCACGCCCAAGAGAATACTCTTAGCTTACATTGCGTTCGCACTCATAGTTTCATACGCGTATGAGCCGCTCAGAGATCGTGGTGTCTTTGGTGACATTGCCGACGCTACTATCTTTCATGTAATTCCACCAAAGCTGGTCGAGCCTCCGGATGGTGATGGGGCCGGTGAGACGATATACAAACCGATCACCCAGGAAAATGAGATCCGACTCCTTGTCCTCGAGCCAGGAGCCCCTGGAGACGAACTGAAATGCCGTCTTGTCCATGCCCAATTGTCCTGGAGAACCAGATATGAAGCCCTATCGTACTCCTGGGGGGATGGAACCGTCACTCGTCCATTGAGCTGCTCGGGGCGTACTGAGATTGTTTACATCAATCTCCACGATGCCTTGACAGACTTACGGCTTCCGGACCGCGAGCGTATTATCTGGACTGATCGGCTCTGCATTAACCAGTCCGACGATGGAGAGAAAACAGCTCAGATGAAGCTTATGGGCGAGATATATTCTCAAGCCTCACAGGTACTCATCTACCTCGGCAAGATGGATTCCTCTGTCGAAGGCGCTATAGAAGCCATACGCCGAGTTGACTCAGAATGGGGAGCCTTCGACTCACTAAATCCTTTCGGTTCTTTTTACACCATGTGGTGTCAGTTCGCAAAAGACGAAGTCAATTGGGATCCTATCATCAATCTCCTCCGACGCCCTTGGTTCCAGCGTACCTGGGTTTTCCAAGAGGCTGTGTTAGCGAAGCGCGGTCAAGTCATCTGCGGCGACCAGTCTATTCCTTGGACGGCGTTCGAAAGGTCAGTACAGTACATGGCTAACTACAAGATCGCCTTCAAGGACATTCCTGCCTATACGTCGATGGACAGCATCGTATCAGGCATATCCCTGATTACTTCAGCGCGATTGGCTCGGTATACCGACTGGAAGGCCTACTTGCCGCATGTGCGATTGATGAAAGGTTCGCAGCACATTCGCCCAGCCAGCCTGAAGTTGCTCGACTTGATCCTCGGAAGCCGCTCGCTCTCGTGCACAGAAGCCCAGGATAAGATCTTCGGCATGCTTGGTGTGACGAGCCAGGATATACGAAGCGAGTACTTTACACACGACTCTTCCCTCTCGCCAGGGGATGTGTTCCGCAATTTCGTGCTCTGGGACATTTTCCACAACGACAGCCTTCGAGCTCTTGGGAGCAGCTCAGACAAAGACGGCAGCCAGTACTCTTCGCCGTCTTGGGTACCGGACTTCACACGTCTTGATCCTCAGAGTAGCCTGACTGGAACCAAGAATCATGCCAAGTTCAACGCCAGTGCAGGCCTGCCAATGCAGGTACGGGCGTCTGACGAAGAGACTGTTCTCCATGTAAAGGGCAGGATAGTCGATTCGATCCACACAGTTGGAAAGGGATCTACCACTTCGCCAGACACCTTTGCCGGCGAAAACGCTCATGTTCGCCACTTCGAATCGCTGAGTCATCTGGCCATGAACAAACACATGATTGAAGAGGCGAGGGACATTTGGGTAGCAGCGACAAAACGGCTTGCCCATTGTCGTGAACCCGTCATAATGGCTAGCATTAAGAAGGGATACTTAGCCGCAACAAGAGAAGATGGTAAAACTAGCTGGGCGCCATTCTTGCGGACTCTGGTCTGTGATCGAACGGATGAGGGCAGAGTGCCTTCCACAGACTTCATCATCGGGGATGTTGCCTCATTTGTTCGTCAAACTCTAGAAGTAGGCGTAATCCCGGACTATTTCCTACAGCTGCAAGAGGGTCGCTCCAAGGGAATCTCTGGTCTCAGAGCGTTCCTCGCCCTAACAGAGTCACGGCGCTTTGCAGCGACTGATGTTGGACTGGTAGGCTATGTACCTATGAGGGCTAAGAAGGGGGATTTAGTTGTTATTTTGTATGGGTCTGAGGTGCCGTTTGTGGTAAGGAAGGAAGCTGGGGACAAATATTCACTTGTGGGGGAGTGCTACATGCACGGAATCATGCAAGGGCAAGCCCTGAAAATGGCAGTCTTTGGAGATGAAGACGAAGTATTCAGTTTCATTTAAACAGTGTCGTCCCTAAAAAATGGCGCTTTGGTCAATTTCTGACTTTCCGAGCACAGCAGCGATGAGGTTACCATTCAGCTTTAATACCAAATCAACCCACATCATTTGGGTGACCGAAGAGGCTCTAGACTCTTCGTGACGTGCTGCAAATCTCCAGCGGACTTTCTGGGCCATTATTTGCTGACTTCTGCTGATATGCTCTTGACTGTCGTTCCGGTTTCATCGAAGCAAATTCCTTCTTGCTGATAGCTAACCGCCCCTCTACTAGTGCTGAGGTGGCCTACCTAGTTGTATCCATCCTCACTGACCCATCTGCAGAATCACTCAGCGAATGAGCGCTTCTGATCCCGTTGCCAACTCCAGCGGGAACATGCGGGAGATATTTGCCTCGCCGCATGATTGGTTTCCCCGCACGATTGTTCTCGTTGCACAATAGTCGTCTCACCCGTCAATCGCTTATTTCCAGCTGCAGATGCAAATCATGTTTCAGCCTTTAGATTCCTCTAGGAGAGAAATCAGGCTCGTGCGCATTTTACCCGGCACATGGATTGACAGCATTAGACTGGCGCTCGATGTCGTATCACTCGATGCAAAGCCGCAATACCAGGCCCTATCATACGTTTGGGGAAGCGAGGCCGACCCCAAAACGGTGACACTCCACGACCAGCTTTTTCAAGTAACTTCCAACCTATATAATGCTCTACGCAGGCTTCGGAAGTCGAGAGTTTCCGTGGTTTTATGGGTCGACGCCGTATGTATCAATCAGAAGGACAACGCGGAAAGAACTCAGCAAGTCTCGATAATGAACCACATCTACGAAAATGCGTTTGAGGTTGTCATCTGGCTTGGCGACAGCCTTTCGGACAGCTTGAAAGGCCTTGAGAGGTCTCCTGGTTTACTCGAAGACGGGCCTCGTTACGTTGCAAATAACGCTAGCATTGGGAATTTCGGCAGACGTGAACCCTTCGACAACACGGAAACGGAGGCTGCGGCAGCCTTCACTATCCTACAGTTACTGAGCGAACCCGGGCACTGGGACTCGAAAGAGATTTTCGCAGTGAACCAAGAAGGACAGTTTGTCGTGGCTGCAATATACCACGCAGCATGGCAGGCTTTCCTGGGCCTCATGAGCTGTTCGTGGTGGTCGCGCATGTGGATCGTCCAAGAATTCGTCCTCGCTCGGGATTCGCAGGTCGTCGTCGGCAATGTCGCGGTGCCTGGACACTTGATCACGGACTTCTATCACAGCTATATTTCTCATCTTCCATCGAGGTGTTGTTGTCATCTCACCGTCTCCTGGCGGATGACAAGCGATCTTTGGGGTGAAATGATGAACATTCGACGCGCTGACATGGGCCTCAACACTATACGCAACCAGCACCACAACCACGGGGATCATGATGGGGATAACCTGACGGCCCTGCTTCGGAAGACTTTGTGGATGCTCCGACCGAAGGAAGCCACGGACCCGCGCGACAAGATCTGCGGAGTGTTGGGTCTCTTCCCTGGAATTGGCATCACGCCAGACTACACGAGCGATGCCGCAGAGTTCTTCTCTTACGCAACCGATTTCTTCATGAGCGCTGAGCAAGGTTTGATGGTACTAGCCGGTCCAAGAATGCGGCGCCTGGGCATGCCATCTTGGGTTCCTGACCTGATAGGTGATCCCCAGGACAGATACTTTCACAGTACAACAAGGAGAATCAACCTGTGCGACAGATTCAGAGCCTGTGGGGGGTTGGATCTACGGTATAGACGTGACGGAAGTAACTTGGAGCTGAGTGGGATACGGATCGGTCTCGTCAAGGCAGCATCGCAGCCTTTTACAGAAGGAAATGAGGCAGAGGGGCTGCTCCGTTGGAAGCGAGAGGCAGACATCTCTGAGATCTCTGGTAGCGATGAATTTTACCCAAGAGGAGGCACTCAGGGCGATGCATTTTGGAAAACCATCATCAGAGATACGATTCTCGATTTTGAAGAGCCAGACAACGACAGGCGCGCAACATCTGAAGATGCATCGTGCTATGCAGTCTTTCTAAAATGGCTGTGCGCAACTGGACATGACGAGAAGACCGAAATAGGTCGCCAACACTTCAACTTCTCGGGCTTCCAAGACGCCTTCTTCGTCGCTACTATCGGCCAAACCTTTTTCATAACGGACTCAGGGCTATTTGGGTTAGGAGAGGGAGTCCAGCCGGAAGACGAGATTTGGATATTTGCCGGTGGAAGAGTACCTTTTTTGATACGCCGCGGCAGTTCAAAAACACCTGGGGATGGGAGGTGTACACTCGTTGGCGACTGTTATGTGCATGGGGTCATGTACGGAGAAGGGATACATCATGATATAGACCTTCAGCCTGTATTTCTAGAATGAGTTTCTAGTCCTATCTTTCAATCTTATGTACGGGGCCTGCTATGTTCGTCTTGTGTAATTCACAGGTTAGAGTGCAAATGAACCCCATTAGTCTCCTTAGGGGCCGTCTCTTCAACCCCAGGAGTCCGCCGATACGCCTCCGGGAAAATTCCCTCCAGCGTCCCTTTGATCTGCAAAGCAATCACCTTTGAAAACCATCGATGCTGGCCTGTTCCACCGGCGAACACGTAGATGTTGTCCACGTCAGGTTGGCGCTTCCAGAGTCCACGAGTCTCTCCTTCGGCATCGACACCCCACGTCGACTCCATCCTGCTTGCGATCTGCTCTGCCCCCTGTCCGAGGATGTCCAGGAGACTCTTCCTAACGTCCAAATTTCCGAAGCCTGTACACCAAACAACAGCGTCAGTCTTTACCTCACTGCCGTCACTTAGAATCACGCCGTCAGCGGAAAAGCCTGCTGGAACAACCCCCGAGCGGATGCCGACTTGGCCGGTGGTAATGAGCTCAATGCCCTTGCCCATGTCGACAAAATGCCCCCCACAACGATCGATTAGATTTATCAAAAGGTCGCCTGTGAGTGAGTCTTCGACCTGCAGACCGACCCTTCGTACTTCGTCGTACCGTTTTCTGATGTATGTTAGCGGCTGGATACAGATCTCATGCAGAAACACTCACGGCTCCTCGATCGCCTGCATGCCGTGGCAAAGGGCGAGCAGAGGACCTCCAACTGCCAGAGGCCCTCCACTGACAACAGCGTCGCAGTCTTCGATGGGGAGAAATTCGTACGCCCCGAGGCCCATGGGATGGGCGAAGTACGACATCGGAACAACGTAAGTCGGTGATCGCTGGACCATGGTTGTCCGGAGGCCGGCCTTGTGACAGTCTGGCATGATGTCGAATGCGGTATTCGCAGAGCCAACTACAACCACAGACTGTAAAACTGTTAGCATAGTATCTTTCACAATTAGATAGACTGTCACACACCTTCGCGCCAGCGTCTACCAGCTGTTGTCCATTTCCATACGCTGTCGAGTGGACGATGGAGCCTCTGAACTTATCACGACCTGGAAGATCTGGCACGTTGATTCCTGAGAACCCAGCGCCTGTCGCCACGACTAGGCATCGGCATGTGACCACTCGCTCGCATCCCCGTACACCATCAGCGATTTTCACGCTCCACAACTTCTTGCCTGCATCATACGAGGTGGCCACTATCGAAGACTGGTGGAGTATCCGTTGATTGAGGTCAAACTCGTGAGCAAAGGCGTGGATCTGGTCGGCCAGCTCGTCTTTCGTCAAAGCATCGCTCGCTTCGTCGGGATATGCTGCGAGTTAGATCCGAGTCAGTGTTGAATATTCAATGGGAGATAGCGAGGGGGCTGTTTCGGGCGCTTACGGATGTATGGTGTTTGGCAGAACGACTTGAAGGTGTGAAAGCGCATGCAGTCATATCTCAAGCGCCAGTTATCCCCAACCTGCTTGTTTCGGTCGACGACGGCATAGTCGACGTTTAGCGCCTTGAGTCTTCCCGCCAGAATCACACCACTTGTGACATGTTAGCAGATGTGTCTATTATCTTGGAGTCACTCACGCGTTGCCTCCCCCGATGACGAGCACATCGGTCCGAAAGTCGGTCTCCGCAGGTAAAGGTATCGAAGGCTGCCGCAACAGAGTCTCGTCCTCCATGTGATCTTCAAAGTTCGTCAACCATGTGCTCATCGACCAGATCCTCCATTCGCCGTCGGCCCCGTCGGCGATTAACATGAGCTTTCCTCTACATCGAGCTCTCGGGGACTCCGTGCTGAAGGAGAAGCTACAGTCGACCCACGCCTACTCGAGGTCAGTCATGCTGACATGTATTCTCTAGCTCTGTCGCGAGAGGGAACATACCAGCTCCTCATTCGCCTTCACTACTTGCGCTGCACCAAACTCTACCGCAGTGATCCTCCGCAGGTGGCTGAGCTCCACGAGTGCGGCTGCGACCGTCTTGCCGCCATTGAAGGTCCGTAGATGAGCCGTCAGTGCGAGCGTATCTTTCCAGTGCGTCCCGGTCGTATTGCCAGTGAATAGCTTGGCAACGGAAGGTTGGTGTCTTCTCTGGAGGCCTTCGGACAGCTCAGCGACGACGCTCAATCCCACCTTGCCAGCATTAACGCCAGCCCAATCGGTAGACGAGGTATTCGGAAGCACATCGTAAATCTGGCCCCTGATGTCGACCTTTGGGGGAAATTCGGGATACTCCGCGTGAAGAGCCATGTCGACAAACGGTTCGCGGGGACTGCTGACCGTGATACATACATGCATCCAACACCCAGGAGGGGCATTCTCTCCTTCTTAAACATCAAGGACCCCTCATCCTCTCGCAGGACCAAACACGTCCGCGCCAAAGACAACTCCCACGGACGTTCCCGCTAACGATCGGGCCGCAGATCTTAGTACGCCACCACCACCAATCGGGACGACTATCCCCCAGACACCAGATGAGGCTTTGGGGAAGCCCGAGAGACACAAATGTCTCACAGCCTCAGCCCGACGGCGTTTTCGCTAGTCGCCCGTTGCCAGACCTTGGTCTGCCAACACCTCGCCTCTACGGCTGGCCGAAACGGCGCGCGCTTGGCTCGCCGGA